TGCGATAGTAACTTCTAGTACTATAGCTTAAATAAATACGTGCATGCATGCAATGTGACCATTTAACTGGCTGTGCAAAGTTGGAAGTAAATAACTATGCCTATATATGGATTCCATGAAACATTGTGATCCCTGGAACGCAAGGTCATTCTTAAAACAATAACAAAAAATATAGAACTGTTTACGAGTATTTATAGGATTTCATTCTTAGCAATTTACAATCCATGAAACAAATCTCAACATTAATATCATGACAGAATACATTACACCAATTAAGGCGAACAGGCTGAGCAAATTATCCCATTTTTAAGTACTAGAATCTCCCTGATTAAACACTGACTGCATGTCGTGCATGAACCTTTGACATTGTTCTGTGCAGCGAGATGCCATTAATTCAAAAAGTGTTTTGTGGTGACATAAACTCATTTTGGTGGAAAAATAGATATTTAAATTATAAACTGGACGGCCTATGAAAATTGCTAATTAAACGTCAATGGGAAATTAAACGGCGTAAAAACGCCGAATTTTTTTACCGTAGTCTGTCTCATCACGTCCCCGTAATATATTTTTTCCTCGGGAGCATCCCTATAGACTTCCGAGACCACAGCAAAATATATTTCCAGTATGAACCTCCCAGCTGGTAAATATACTATATGAGTGCAAATGTTCTTACTAACAATTAATATCATTCACAAAAAAAGTAACTATTTTCCTGTTTTCATCCGTAACAAGGTTTTGTTTTTTCACAGTTAAACCTAACAACACAAACATTATGTTTACACCAGAAAGAGCTGTATTTGGTGAATCAGTTATCATGACGTGTAACTCTAATGGTCTCCCTGAACCAAGTTATAACATAACCTATAATGGTACCGAGGTCAGTGCTAACAAGACCTACACCATAGACGATGTGCAGTACAGTCACGCTGGAATATATAAATGTGTCGCAACGAATAAACTTGGAAAAGATTCAGCTTCCGGTAATTTAACCGTCATAGGTAAGATTAGATGTTTGGACGAAATAAGATTAGATGTTTGGACGAAATCTTTTGACCAAATCTATCTGATTGGTTCATTTTTTGTCACGTGTTCGCTTTTATATACACTAGTGTAAAAGCACGTGTATTTTCCCGATCCAGGCTACTAACTTCCCCACAAAGGGCTTTCGCTCGAAACGTCGAAGTTTTCCTTGTATTTTTCACGTAGTTGAATCCCTATCAATCCTGTCACTACCTATGCTAGCACAAACCGTTCGACATTATTATCAATACATGTTAGGTGTTAGTAAAGGTAAATATACAAATATGGTTGAAAGCTTGTCAATCATCAGTTGACATAATTATAATTATAATTTATTTACTTGTTAAACTTTAGCCGTTAACTTAACATATTTATAAATGTTATAAGGAAAACACGCCTAGGAACACTAACACAGCGCGAGCCAAATTGTAAAGAAAAATCGCTCGTTGCCCAGACAATAATAGAGAGGTTCAGATTTGACTTCCACTGCCGCTACCACTACAGTACCTCTCATTGGCTCAGTACGCATCTGATTGGTTAATCGGATATATCAGACGCATCTGATTGGTTAATAGTCCCTGAATTGTAGCGGTAGCGGTGGTGAAAGTCAAATCTGAACCTCTCTATTGCACAGCAAGCTGTAAGTATGGACTAAAACCTCTTTATTTTCGTAGTTTCGCTCGCTATAAAGCTACCAGGAAAACCACCCATGTGCGGCTACAGTAGTTTGCGTATCGCTCATGCTTGGTCTGTTGGGTCGGTTGTGCTATTGGGTCTGTTGGGTCTATTCCAGTATTAAGCTCCCCCCCCCCCCATCCTGTGAGCAAGTTGGACCCCCTTGACTTTTCTTTGAGGGTGTTACACCCCTCCCAGTTGTTCCGGTTATTAAGTTTTAGGCAATAGGCATTGTCATGCGATTCTGGAATAACTAATTACGCATTGGGGTTTGTTGGGCCAACTGAAAACCCAACGCAAATACGTTCTTCCTAAATCGCGACAGGTATAGTGTAATGTTCTAGTATTTGCAGAGAGATACTGTAATACTATTAAGTCGAAGTGCAATTTCCACTGGAGGCAGATCATTAATGAGGTATGGACTAATAGCGGCTGCTCAAGCGCCATTTGTAAGCTCAAAGTCTACCTCGGTCTGCTTCACGTCAGTCCGGTTCTATCTATCTATTCATAATGTAACCAGTCACTGAAAAGCCCTGATATAGGGAGTGTGCTGTGAAATATAATAATAATAATTATATTCATTTTGAAATCTTAATGTAATTTAAAATTAAACAATTTTGAAACGGAAGTAGTTCTTTTTATTACGAAAGACACCCCCTGATACTCGATGCCGTAGCGTGGCAACAAGCAAATATGATGAACCTTCTTTGAGCCAATCGGCAATCCATTTAAAATCCACCCCCTCCCCCCTATGGATGAAGTCAGTAAAATTTTAACCCCTAGCTAAGAAATGAAGATGCCGATACAAAACACCCCTCAGAAATTTGTAAATTTCCCCCTTACCTCTCGGAAATATCGCAGAGATCAAAGAATGGAATCCTTAACCCCTCAGAAACGACTTTGGAGTTACCCTTTGACAAATTCATCCGTGGGGGGGGGGGGCAGGGGTGGACATTAAATGGAATAGCCCTTTCATGTGTAAATCTCGAAACATTTGGCCAAAAAATGAAGATTTATGGATACTGTGAAGACTAAAAGACAACCAATGTAAGTTTAAACATACTATAGGTTTTAATAGCAATTTGATTTGTTTATTACACTTTGCTTTGACTGGCTAGCTAAGGTCACCACTTCAATATGATTGGTTTAAAAAATGATGCGATTACAACTCATTCTGATGCGGGCAAAGCTCAAAAAAGTGCGATTACAGCTCTAAAGTAGTGCGATTCGGGCTGTAATCGCACTATTTTTAGCCAATAGATTGCTCGAATCGCGCATGATTTCAAAATGAAGATAATAAATACAGTAATTTCAACTTTGAACATTTGTTTACAATCGAAGTCTTGACGCGACAGTCAATATTGAGCGTGATTCTAAACCTGCAAAATAACTTGTGCTGAAACGTGATTTCATTACATTTCAGAGAAACCAAATGTGACCATCAATTGTTCCAGTCCTGTCATAGTAAATGAAGGTGATGATTTCACATGTGTATGTAGAAGCGAAGGTGGAAACCCTCCAGCCAATGTAACATGGTATGATAAAGATGGCAAACAGATGGCAAAAAGTTTTGGAGAAAATAGTTTAAATCTCACTGATGTGTCTAAACAAGACATTGGAACATACAAGTGTGTGGTTCAGCGCTATAATCTAACGGATGAAGAATTAATTGAAGTAAAAGTAACACTTCATTGTAAGTAATAATAATAGT